CAGACCTCTTTCTTCCAAGTAAAGAGCCTATGAGAGAACCATTTCGCAATCAAAGTTTGATACTATTGACAAAGCATTTAAACATTTAATTACAACTTAAAAGAAATTTGCAATGCACATGCACAACATCTAATCTAAAATGTAACAAACCAAGACTTCATGAGAAACCAAGCTACTATACCATTTGATATACCATAACAGTAAGTTTCAAAAGAACAATAATTAATAACATCGAGAAGTTTAAGATTAGCGATTGCGCGAAGTTGATCAAAAACTTAATATAAGGGAAAATTTCTTGTATCCTGAGACAAAAATACTTGTAGTCTAGTTATAGAAAGCTCACTCTTGATAGGTAATCACAAACTCAGCAGAGGATCTCAATTTACTAGCCAATCGCGATAAAAATCGGGACACACACTTGATTCCACAAATCTCACACCTTCGTCTTTTTGAAACGATAACGAACTTCTCCAAAGCCACTGCTTTCTTTAACAAAAAGCTTGAAAGTTTGAAAAGCTTCCTGATATATTCCCAGTTGAGATGCTCCTTCATGCACATCCCAGAGGAGATGACAATCTCAACATTCTTTAGGTTGGGAAACACAGAGCTTGAATTATAACTCTGCAAATCAATACTATCACCTCTGACCAAATATTCTCTCTCAAAATAGCACCTGGAATCATCAAACTGGAGAAAAAGAAAATAGTCAGGACTAAACACAAGCCAGCCTAAAAATATGATTTTCACAGTATGACTGGTGCAGAAAAATTTCAAAACTAACAGACATGAATGGTGGTTGGAAAATGATTGTGTATCATAACTATTTGTGGCATAGGTATCCACAATAAAAGAATGATAGTGCAACAATCCATTTCATTTTAGAGTGCCTTTGCCACAAAGAAAGCAACAAGACCAACCATATTAAAGTGTAGCTTTACAATGACAAAAGCAAAGCTTCTTAGTGATTATTAAGGGATATATTTGAGTTATCCTTCAAAACCAATTTGCGGGGAGGGGGAAGAGAGGTTGTTAAAACTTCATTAAATGAATAGATTTAAGAAGAAAAGAAGAAGTTCCAGAAAGTTACAGGCTGATTTTCTATTTCTAAGTTGAGTGTCTCCACAAGAGGCGAGGCTCGCAAAAGGCCAGCTGCCCCATACAAACTAAACTTTTCCAAATGCAACTCCAGCACTAGATGTTTGCATTCCAATTCTGGAATTGGCACTCCTTTGAACTGCAATATGCATAGGACCTGGTGCAATAATTCCAATGAAACTAGTAAACAATGGGGAAAGCAATAAAGAAAGCACTTCCCAGCAAAGAAATAGTGCTGTTACAAAATCTAACAAAAATTCTAGTTCCGGTAAGATAAAGGAAATAACACAGTTCCAAAGCTGACAAAGGATAGCTGAAAGGTACAAAAGTCCCCACAAGTTTCTGTAATTTGTCCAGATGGGTTGATGAAATTCGCACAAAGGTTCTCCATTGTATAATGTTTACACATTCTGAAACTGTCTGCTAAAATTCAATCTGAGAAAAGAAGGGCTCTAATTTTTTTGAGAAAGATCATGTAAGTTTAATAACTTGCAACACTAAGTAAAAGCATCCCTGTTTGACTATGCAGGGCACTAACGACAAACATCACCAACCTGAGTGAACAAAGTTCCGAATGTTAATTTGGTTGCCCGACTTAGCTTTTGAAGGTAATCTTGGATGAGGGTCTTAAAACCTTGATGATAATCACTGCAACTGTCTTCATCCTCTTCATCAGAATCAGAATATTGATCATAATCATTGTGCAGATCTTTGATACATGTAATGTCAAAAGTTATCTTAGCATTAACCACAGAGGATGCATCAACAAGACTACACTTGAAATCATGAAAATCTTGCGAAAGCTCCAAATGCTGAAGATACGGGACACAAATTTCAAATGAGTGATCACTTTCACCACCATCATCCACCCAATAACCTTCCAATTTCAAGGTTTTTACCTTTAACGAATTAATTTCCAAACGACGAAAACCCCCAACATTATTAAATACTATAGTTTCCAATGCAGGACAACCTGATAGTAAATTCTTAATTTCGGTATCGACTAGCACCATTTCCTCCAATTTTATAGTCTTTAGAGACTTCCAAGCTATAACAATATTAGAAACCAAGGAACTTTCTGCAAGATGCAATGTTATCAAAGACGAACAAGTGAAAAAAGTTTGAGACATTATGTAAGGAGGAGGAGAATAGAGTACAACATGTTGTACATTTTTTTTAACAGCAAAAGTAAGCCATTGGCTTATTTGAGACTTGTAGTTATGCAGGGCACTGCAGTGGATCTGAAATTTTGTAATTTTGGAAGCAGTGGAATGAGACAATACATAGTCAACAAATGATCGAAATCCTTTGTTTCTTCCCCAAAAGTGTCGAGGAGAGAAAATGAAGGAATCAAGTGAAGTCCAGAGATACTGCCACCTTTTAGAGAGAATACATGTTGTGAATGCTTCTTCTGTCGGCAAAAGGGAGAGAATTTGAAGTAGAAGTGAGTCCGGCAAGTCACTCAGACGATCATCTAGGGTTTCTTCCGCCATGATTTTGTTTTTTGTGTTTCTAAACTCCCGCTTCGGTAGTAGCCTCTTCAATTGTACAGTTAAGTTATATGTTTTATATATTCGCCTAAAATTAAAATTATAATTAAATAAGGGTTATACTAAGGCCCGTTAGTCCATGTGATTAGAGAGCATGACACGAAATTGTATGAGATGTAGTTAAAAGTTTATTTAAATATGTAATTTAAATTTTTAAGTAGTATTGTTTACTTGTAAACATAAAAATTTCGTAAGTTTGTGAAAATTATTTAAATTGACCATTATTCATATTTCTATCTATTATATAGAAATGTGAAGCCGACAAGACGACCAAGGGCAATTCTGAAAATTTTGATATAATTGAAGGGCAAAATAGTAAATGCCTGGCTATAAACCTAGAAGCATCTACTGAACAACCCAGACAAGGACTTATTTCTAGACTAGACTAGAAACATCCATAGCTCCTTCTCTCTTTTCTTACTCTCAACCTCAAGTCCACCTCTCAAAAATGGTCTCTTACTCTTCATAGCGGATTACACTTCAGGTTTGTCTAATTCTTCATTCGTTTTTTCCTTCAGTTCATCTGAAGAACTTTATTCTTTATCCAAAATTCAGGTTTGCCCAATTCAAGGCTTAGTAATAAAATGATAAATATAGAAATATTCATATGTAGCCGCTTCTTCTTGCTTTCTTTGTTCAATTATCATAGTTTCTTGATTTGAGATTTAGTAAAGTGAAAATCTAAAATGGAGATAAAGTTTATTTTTTGTTTATGAAATATCAAAATTAGAGTACATCCTTTACCTGAATGGATATGAAATTTTTTCACCATGAAAAAATCGAAATTAGAGCATATCATTTTGCTAATTTGTTGTTATTTGGAGGAATTCGTTGATGGAGCAGGAGCTTAAAGAAAGATCGTCATCATATTATAGTGTTCTTACTTCTTAGTGTTAATGTAGACCCTTTTGAAAGCGGAAAATAAAAAGCTAGCAAGGGTGTGATGGAGTTTACATTTTGTCTAAATTGTATTCTAATTATGAGAATAGTTTTGTTGTGTGTTTGGATTTGGTTGCTAACTAAATTAGAGTACATCCTTCTGCCAATACATTCTATTAGCTAAATTATTGTTATTTGAATTTGTTGATGGGTCTGGGGAGGGTAGTGTCTGCTTAGACTTACTCCTCCCTTATGAGGGAATGGACTTAAAGAAAAATCTATGAACTATTAGCTTTAGAGTTGGTCATGCTAAGCTAATTTGTGCGGACAAGAGAAGTAGCAAAGAGAGTTTTATAATCACATACTTGACTTGGTACAGATCATGAAAATTCTCAATATATGTAGCATTTTAATAAGAGATAATGAAGTAAATATGATGCAGTTTGAGCTTTATTTGAGTTGTTAGATATTTATGGACTATAATTTTCTAAAGACAAATTGTAAGTTCAAACTTGAAGTAAATATGAATTATGAAAGATTTTTCTGACATCTACAGTCACAAGTTGAATCAATAACTTTTCTCTATAGAGTTGTAACATTCCAAGTTTTATCCCATTTGGAGGGAATATGAAGAATAAATCTTACTTGAAAGTGTATAAATGCTTCTTCATTATTCACAAATAATCTACAATTTGAAATGCTAATTATATTGCAACTAAAAATTTGACCAACTTCATAAACTTCTTCAACTGACAACTAAAGTTTACTCCTTTAATCAAGTAATTTTTTTTTTTGATGATAAGGGAAACCCGCAGCCGCTACCCTTTGGGTGCACAGGGTAAAACCCCCGCTCCTATGCAATAGCTCGCAATCAAGTAATTTAAAAAATAAAAAATAAAAAAAATCTCAAAGTTATTGATACAGGTTTGCTTATGTTGAGTTAAAGTGCTTGCAAATGACCATATATAGCATGTATACACGTAGTTGTTTTTTCACTCAAATGGTCGATTTGTTCTATGGATTAGCCATGAAATACTCGTATTTGGGTGCTTTAAATCTCATAGTTCGTCTTCACGAGCTCACCGGAAGGTTTGTACGGTATGGAATTCTGAATATTATTTGGAGTGGTGAGAAAACAGATTCATTAGCTAGATTATGCATGTGATAACCAGGAATTAGATCATAGTTCGTCTTCACGAGCTCACTTGAATGTTTGGAAGGTTCAAATTTCAGTAGAGTTAGATCAAAATACTATAGATATTTTTTTGCCTATTTGCTTAAGGTTGGTGAGTAGAGTTACCAAATACTTGTGCTAGTTCATTGTCTAGGTTAATGTAAGGTGGCTTGGACACAATTAGATAACGCTTTGAAATATTCCGTCATATCTTCCAACTCCCCATGCATTCAGATTTCTCGTAAGAATAATATTATGTGAGTTATTGCTTCAGTTCTGAGCTACAGTCCTATCCCGTTCTATTGAAGAATGAGAGAATGATTAGATCAATTAGGTGTTATTTAGAGTGGTGGAAAAATAGATTCCTTAGCTAGATTATGTGATAACCAGGAATTAGATCATAGTTCGTCTTCACGAGCTCACTTGAATGTTTGGAAGGTTCAAATTTCAGTAGAGTTAGATCAAAATACTATAGATATTTTTTTGCCTATTTGCTTAAGGTTGGTGAGTAGAGTTACCAAATACTTGTGCTGGTTCATTGTCTAGGTTAATGTAAGGTGGCTTGGACACAATTAGATAACGCTCTGAAATATTCCGTCATATCTTCCAACTCCCCATGCATTCAGATTTCTCGTAAGAATAATATTATGTGAGTTATTGCTTCAGTTCTGAGCTACAGTCCTATCCCGTTCTATTGAAGAATGAGAGAATGATTAGATCAATTAGGTGTTATTTAGAGTGGTGGAAAAATAGATTCCTTAGCTAGATTATGTGATAACCAGGAATTAGATCATAGTTCGTCTTCACGAGCTCACTTGAATGTTTGGAAGGTTCAAATTCCAGTAGAGTTTGAGATAATTTTTTTCCCTGTTTGCTTAAGGTTGGTGAGTATAGTTACCAAATACTTGTGTTGGTTCATTGTCTAGGTTAATGTAAGGTGGCTTGGACAGTGACAATTAGATAACACTCTGAAATATTCCATCATATCTTCTAACACCGCAGACATTCAAATTTCTCGTAAGAATAATATTATGTGAGTTATTGCTTCTGTTCTGAGCTACAGCCATATTCCGTCCTTTTGAAGATTGAGAGAATGACCGGATCAATTAGGTGTCTAGCAACTAGATATATAGGAGGGGCATTGTAAACTTCAAGGTCGATCAGTCCTATGCTAAAATAGTTGAACAATAATTCCCTTTATATACTTTGATAAACAATAACTTTCCTTCTAAAATTTAGGAAATGAAGTTTCAGAATTTCAAGTTGAACTGCTCCAATGGATCTAAAATTTAAATGACAAGTAAACCAAGTTTTTTCACAAACTACAGGATTAAAATTAAATCTAATAGATTTTATAAGCAACAAGCAAGTGTCGGCATCCCTTTTTAATTTTTCTCCCTATTTTCTTTCGCCTTCCCCAAACTTTAGACTATCATATTTCGGATCTTTAGCTATTAGGATAGTGATTATACTATTAATAGCCTTATTTTCATTAATTCCCCAATCTTCAGAATAGTTTGGTTACAAACAAGTCAACCTCTAAACCTGAAGGTTATGCTTTCATTTAGTATGTCCGTACATGAAAAGTTCGTCTTACTTGATCTCTTATTTCTCTGTCATTTGTTTTCTAATTTTTGTTTTCAAACCCTTTAATGTAACTTCTGCCGACAAAATAGAGTGCTTCTTTATATTAAACGTGAGAAAATCGTGCCGAGTTGGCAGTCGTGTAGACTTAGAGTGGACTTGAAACAACATGAGTGGGAAATGAAGTAGTTAATTAGACATTGAAATTCTAAGACCTTTTGTAGTGTTAGCTGTGTGCACATTGCCAAAAGGACTCTGAACATAGCTATACTACAATACATTATTAGTTGCATTGGTCCATAGAGTCGAAATTGCAATACATATGTAGCTTCTTCTCTGCTTAAGTTGATTTTGGTTTTGACGTCATTGCACATAAAAAATTATTATTATTATTTTTTATTTTTTTAAAATTATTTGAGATTATTGTGCATGTGTTATAAGATGCTTGTGGTGACTACTTTAGAACTTTGGTTTATCTTTTGGGGCATAAAAGATGTTGTGGTCTAGCTTATTATATTTATGTCTTTTATTTTATCTCAAAGAGCTTTATTTTCCTAACCACTATATGAACTCTATCTATATAGATTACTTTCTTGCTATATAAAGCTGATTAAAAGATTCTATTAAGTTGTTTTTAGACAATGATAACTCATAAAAGTCGTTGGCCTCTAAACAACGTTACAATGGTGACCTTAATTTTTATGAGACTATCAGTAATGTTAGTAATGTTTGACAGATTAATTGTGAACACAAAATAGATTCTTTGCGTAAATGCATATTGAGTAATAGATTATTGTATGTTTTATATGTCTAATGGCAAAGTTTATTTAATCTTTCTTACACTACTTTTGTATTAACAATTTCCTTCTCAGTCTAATATATGCAGGTTAAACTATGGGCTTCTTTGTTTCCGTATATAATGTAGTATTCTTGTTGAATTGAAAAAAGTATTTTGATGAAAATTAACTGGATCCATAGTCGCAGATCATCTTTGCATTAACTTAATGTACTATTCTTGATATGGTTCTATTTCTTTCATATTCAACTTTACACATCTGTAGATTTCCATGGTTGCATCAAGTTCCAAAGGTAAATAATTTTTTCTTACCTTCATATATATTATTTCACTATGTATAATTTGAAGTTGATTGTGCTAAAGAGACCATCTTCCACGATTTATGAATGGAGATCATTTCCTACTATTTATCCACCATCGCACACGCCTTATTAATTTCTTAGTCTTTGAGCTTATGTTGTTTTATCCTGATATTGGAGGATGCGATATACAAAAGCAGGAAATTTATGAAGCCATCGAGTTACCTCTGAGTCATCATGAGTTGTACAAGCAGATTGCTATAGATCCTTCCTATGGCGTGTTGCTCTATGGTCCACAAGGCACTGGAAAAACCATGCTTGCAAAGGTTGTAGTACATCATACCACCACGACCTTTATAAGGGTAGTTGGTGGTGGTATAAGGACAGTAAAATAAGCAAGCACTTGTGGAGTCATGGTGGTATATTATCGATTTATGATGATACAACAATTTCAAAACATGTTTGAAATAGTCAAAGTTCAAAAAAAAAAAAATTTAATCTTGAACTTGTCTGGCAGAAAGTTTTTTGTGATTAATCTTGAACTTGCCTGGCAGAAAGTTTTTTGTGCGATTATACTGAATATGCTATTTTTGAAGTTAATTGGTGTTTATCTGCATTTTGAAGGTGATGTAAAGCTGCTCATATCTCGTTTTGTGATGATATTGTGGAGATTAACAATCTAAGGTGGGACTGTCGTGTATATTACTAGAAACTAATGAACATGATTAGAGTGTCTATTCAATGTATTGAGATATAATATAAAGTCTATTTGTCGAAAGCTACTTATTTTGATCTTAAATTGAGAGGATGGTTTCTTATTGGCGCAAAAAAAAAACACTAAGTAAATACTTGTAGCAAATAGAAAGATGTCACAAAATCCAACATGTTGGGCCGTGCATAGCACGGCCATGTCTATCTAGTAACTTACTAAATAAGCAAACTATCCCTAAGCTATTCTAATAAAAATATAATATTTTTATTGATTGGACTCTAGTTCAATAATTAAAAAAGTTGAACACGAGTTATAGTAAGACTCTTTATTTTTTAAAAACAAATATACTACTATTATTATTAAGTAATAATAAATTTGGTTGTTGAGAGTAATGATTATATCTGATAAAATGATTTAAAAGTGGGTTAATGTAATGGTTATTTCATAAATTTTGTTGGATATGTGATTTCATCTCGTGATTTAAAATTTGTGTTATGTGATTTCAATCATGAGATAAAATCTCAAATTTTTCAAAAAAAAAAATTTAATTTTAGAATTTCATATCATGAATTCACATTTTCCAAATACAAAAATTTAACCAAAAGTTTATATTTTATAAAAAAAATTGTATAAATAAAAAGGTTTTCATACCAACTGTTAAAATATAAAGGCAAAAACAACATTCAAGATCACCAATCTTACATCAAACAACGTGTTGAACCTTTTGCACAATTCGCCAAAACAAAGTGATCCAAGTTGTGATCTTCTACTATGTTCCTATAACCTTTTAACTAAAACTTGTGTGGTAAGAGTCTTTCTTCTGGGAAAGGGATGATCTTCTCTAATGTAAAATACCATATTTATTCCCATTAGGGAAAATGTAATAACTCTGAAGTGTTGTAAATAGTGGTGGATGTCATATGTGGGCCCACTATTGTTACTGTAGGAGTATCACCTCTCCAAGTTATATTTTGCCTATATAATAGCATCTCACAAAGCAATAAAAAGACACTAAAATTAGTTGCATCTCCTATTCCTCTACTTTCTGACTTCCTCTTACTTTACTCTTTCCATTTGATTCTAGTTTTGTGTTGATTTTATAACACGTTATCAGTACGAAATTCAAATCAAATTTATTATTTTGAAATTGAGTTTTTTTCTTCTTCGCAAGAAGCTATCTCTTTTGAAAAAAGGGTATGAGTATGCACTTACCATTAGGGGTGTACATAGGTCGGTTTGGTTTGGTTTTTCATTAAAAAAAATCTAAACCAATTATGTTGGTTTATTAAATTTAAAAACCAAATCAAACCACAGAAATTTGGTTTTTTCGGTTTCGACTTTAATCGGTTCTTTTGGTTTTTTCCGATTTTTTATAACTATACGATGTTTGAAAAAGAGATCAAATATATTTTCACTTACATATGTTATAAGCTAAACTTAAAAAATGTTAAATGAATAGAAATCTTCGAAAAGATGATAAAATTCACATGAGTACAAAATATATTTTTTTTAAAATATCATTCAATATGTTAAATTAATAAGATTAAATGCTATAATCAAACTGAATACAAAACGAAATATTTACAAAGTAAACTGTTAACTTCGAATTTGAAAAACTATAACAATACCATTGTAACTTCTGATCTTAATACAAAATAAAATATTTACAAGCCCAAATTTGAAATAATATATATGAACATTGAAAACTATAAACTAACTAAAAATATATCAACAAAGTAGATTATAAATAATATTTTTTATCTATAAATATAATAAAATTATATATTTGTATTATGTCGGTTTGGTTTGGGTTCGATTTGACTTTTTTTCTTTGAATATCAAACCAAACCAAGAGTGGTCAGTTTTTTTTTTCCAACGCCAAACCAACCAAACCAAACCACAAATCGATATTTTTTTTCGATTTGATTTGGTTCGTCGATTCAATTTGACTTTACGATTTGGCATGTACACCCCTACTTACCATTGTTAGTGCTTAAAGAAATATTTTTTTCTCTGTTTATGCTATATTTGGTATCAATTATAAGTTTTATTAAGAATATCATTTAATGCCATCATTCCTATTACCCCATACACATTAGTTATCTGTGTAATTTTAATTAATCAAATCATCTTGTATTGATCCTAAAAATCATGTATATGCTCCGAAAATAGTTCATTAATTTTATTGGTTTGGTCATTATCAAGAAATTTAGTGAGCATTCTAACTAAAATGGAGGAAGAAATATTTTATTATTGATATGATGATATATGATGGAGATCTGCAAAATATAGAAGATGAACTTATAAAGTTACATTCATCGAGATTTTCTTTATATATCCATCAACCCCTTTATCACTTTAACACGCCAAAGATTTTAAGTCTGAATTTAAAAAAATAAATGAAATGGGTTCCTCAAATTTCTCAAATTCTTGTTGTGATTCCAACAAAACTCAGATGAAAAATAATGGGGGAAATTGGTTGTCATTTGCAGAAAGTTTTTGTCCTATTTATCTGATTGTTGGTAAAGTTATTTAAAGACCGTCAATTATTTTTTCATGTTTTGTCAAGTGTGATCCTACTTCTTATAATTTGGCTCTTTAGTTTATAATGCTTGCTATGTGTCTTACATTGAAGAAAAATAAAATAAATTAATCAATTTATTATTACAAAGTCTTTTTCCGATTCAAAAGTCAATAAGCAAAGATAACTTTTGTTGCTCTTTAACTACTGCAAAGGTAAGTGTGGTTGTATCTTTATACATATTAATGAACTTTCTCTAAAAGAGTACACTAGTATTTGAAAAGTAAAATTGCATACAGATAAATTTTATTTTTCTTCTCATATTCATTGAGGGTACAATCTTTGATTAGATTATAATTTATTCATCTTGATTATTGAAGGGGATAATAGAATATTATTTTGTCAATGTTTAGAGTTTATTGATTATATTTTATTGGAATTTAATTCAATCATGCATATATTTATAAATAAAGCGATGATAGTTTAAAGGACCGTGGTTGAGTTTCATTGCACCTTGGTCTATCATATTGATTGAAATTATGGTGAAAGATTCAAGTCTCGTCGCATTAAGAGGATAAGGTATTGATTTTGCGTTCCATTAACCTGAAACGTCTTTTTATGGGGAAGACGTTGGATTTCAAATCTCAATGCACTATATTGATGGTGTAATGATGACTGAGCAAATTAATATGCTCTTGATAAAATTCGTGAAATCCGCCTAATTGATTTGCTTCATTCTCTTATGTGAATGTGATAGCACTGCGTAATATGTTTGAAAGATGACAAGTGATTGAACATATGAATATGGGCGTGAAAAATATTAATAATAATAATAATAGTCATCACTGTGATGATTAAAAGAAAGAACAATATGAGTTCTCAAAATGGTCCTTCAAAGAGTGAAGATAATTCTTGTCATCAAAATGGTATAAAAGGTCATTAGATACATAGTTATTGTGTGGCCTAATAGTTTGATTTTATAAATCCTCCATCAAAATAAAGAAATATTAAGTGATAATGCACTTGACCTTTCAAAAATGATGTTGAGGTGTGTCATGTAAATATGATAAATTTCAAATCATAACAATGAGATTCTAATAAAAAATAAATAAATTATGAAGCATGTATATATTATTGTAGGCAATTCCTTGAAGAGAATATAACTTGTGATAAACATTGTGAATGCTCGACCATTCTTGAAAGTGAATGTGTCAAGAGATGATGAAAATTATAAATAAAGATATACCCATGTATGATTTAATAAATACCACAACTCACCCCTATGGGAGGTTAGAGGGAAATAAAGAAATTTTATGTTGGTATAAATGGTCATTGGTCAAGTACTTTTAGTACATCGCAAATATTATGATACGTTTTATGATGAACTATCGAAATGACTAAAGAAGGAAATAATTCTTGACCACAATAATTTATCATTGATTATGCATCTGTGTACGTCAAAGGTATTTTGCCTGATATTAAACAAAATGAAGGAGATACTAATGACAAAAGTAAATCAAGAAATAAGGTTCTGCTTGTAATGATTTTGATCATGACAATAATGATATAAATTTCTCCTTGAAAGAGATGTGTATCACACAAACAATGTTATGAAATATGTGGTAGTATCTAATGAATATTGTGAGCTCTGGTGATTTAATGTGCTACTACCTAAAGAAATAAAATTGCTCATGATATTGGAATTGTAGTAAGTCTTGAAACTTTTTAAGGTTTAAAGAAATAAAAAAAAAAATTATATTGAGACTATAAAATATGAAAAGATTTAAGATCTTCATATAATCAAAATGAGTTATAAATATTTATGTGAAAGATTACTCATGTCTTCATATTATTTGTGGTAACTAAATATGGACATGATGATAGAATCACATGCAAAATAAACTAGAAGTTTATCGAAATAAATATCAGTTGACATAATCGATTGATGACCATTTCAGTTCAAATATGATACGGAAATAAATGAGAATTCATATGGTTATATTGTTTTATTAGGAAAATATATTTGGACTGGTTTAAGAGTCGCCACTTAATTTTTAAGAAAAATTAAGAAAACTACTTATTTTCAAATAGATCAAAACAGTAAATTTATTGAAAACTATTAAGGGGGTTCGAGGTTCATATTAACATTTCGGGAAGGATTTGAAAGCACCCGAAATGCCCGCTAATATGCGATTATCCGATAATTAATTATTTGGCAAAATTTATTTGACTTAACTTGAACTGAGCAATTTTATAGTTAGGACTATTTTAAGGAGAGAGAAAAAATAAAAAGGGAAATATTAAGATACTATATAAGTTAGATATTTTGAAAATTTTAAGTTTTAAGGTAAAGGGAAATGAGTTCTTAATTAGTCAATTTTTAGAAGATTAGTTTAGAATAACTGTCTGTCGGGGAAATTAAATCGTAATAACCTTAAGATTAACATCAAGTAATGACAGGTAAACAAATATAAAATGATAAAGTAAAGAGGGAGATTTGGGCCCAGGTCTGATTTCCTGTCCGCCTAGATCAGTACTTGGGCCTATTTTTGTTTTGGGCCTTTGGCCCAATTTTTGTCACCTGCACCT